TGACCCAGTGGTCACCAACCTAAGAATTACTTTGCCCTCAGGGTCAAAGTGGCTGATTTTGAAATAAGATCATTTTTTGATTTTTGAAAATGAGGACATTTGTCTAGAATGGTTGAAAGAAAGAAAAAGAGAGCCAGCCACGCTGGAGGAATAATTTGCTATTATCTCCTGTGGCTTCCTGGGGCAGGGCGTGGTTTCTTGCATTTTTACAAAATGGCGCCCACTTTCCCTCCAAGTGAAAGAGCCATTTGGGAGCAGGTGATTCTGCCCCTCTCTCCCTGTCATATGTGAATGTATCTGCAAATTTTATGTGACAGTGACCACCTGGGTACCTCAGCCAGGATACCAAGCCTCCCACCCCAGTGGGATTTGTTTGGAGGTCCCAGATCCCCCCCAGATGATTCCTTGGATGGCCTTCCCCATCGTGGACAGACTTGACTGCTTCTGTTCCTTCTCTCCTCTCCAGGGACGGGGACCTTCGGGCGCGTGCACTTGGTGAAGGAGAAGGCTGCTAAGAACTACTTTGCCCTCAAGGTCATGAGCATCCCCGAGGTCATCCGCTTGAAGCAGGAGCAGCATGTTCACAATGAGAAGTCGGTCCTCATGGAGGTCAACCACCCCTTCCTCGTCAAGCTGTTCTGGACGAGCCACGACGACCGCTTCCTCTACATGCTGATGGAGTACGTGCCCGGCGGCGAGCTCTTCGGCTACCTGCGCAACCGCGGCCGCTTCCCCTGCAGCACGGGGCTCTTCTACGCCACCGAGATCCTGTGTGCGCCATTGAGTACCTGCACTGCAGGGACATCCTCTACAGGGACCTGAAGCCGGAGAACATACTCTTGGATCAGGACGGCCACATCAAGCTCACGGACTTCGGGTTCGCCAAGAAGCTAGTGGACAGGACGTGGACCCTCTGCGGGACCCCTGAATACCTCGCCCCTGAAATCATCCAGAGCAAAGGCCACGGGCGGGCCGTGGACTGGTGGGCGCTGGGCATCCTCATCTTCGAAATGGTGGCAGGGTTCCCCCCGTTTTTTGATGACAACCCATTTGGCATCTACCAGAAAATTCTCGCAGGGAGGATAGATTTCCCGAGGTATTTGGATTTCAGCACAAAAGACCTCATTAAGAAATTGCTGGTGGTGGACAGGACCAAGCGCCTGGGCAACATGAAGAACGGCGCCAATGACGTCAAGCAGCACCGGTGGTTCCGCACTGTGGACTGGGACGCTGTCCCCCAGAGGAAGCTGAAGGTGACCCTCTTTTGAACATTCCTTACAGAACGCAATGATCCCAACCTCTGTAAAACCACTCTATTGGTTTGTGGTTGACTATTCCAGATCCCTCACATGAGAGAGAACACAGGGCACTTGTCTTTCCATGCCTGGCTCATGTCCCTTAATAGAATGCCTTCCGGTTCCATGCATTTTCCTGCAAGCGACATCATTCCATTCTTCTTTCTGGCTGCATAATATTCCATTGGGCCTATGTACCGCATTGTCTTTATGCATTCATCCATGGCTGGACACCTAGGTTGGTTAACAGCTGTATCCACGTCTTCAAGGAGTATCTTAGAGCCAGTGACCTTCCCAGGATGCGGTGAAGCTCCCAGTGTTTCAGTACTAGTTTTTTTTTTGTGGATACCAGGGATTGAATCCAGGGGTGCTTAACCCCTGAGCCCCCTCCCCAGCCCTATTTTATATTTTATTTAGAGACAGGGTCTCCCTGAGCGGCTTAGGGCCTG